CAAATTTTGTGTAGGACCTCACGTGACCCCAAGGAATGATCAAATTTTAAAAATTTTTGTTTAAAAGTTTTTTATTTTTGTAAAATTTTGAAAATGGTCAAAAAATATTATGAAATCCGCAAACCTTTTTTGTTTTTGTTTTATACTGTACAAAGAGAAGATGCTCAGAGATAAAGCCACAGTTAAAAGTTAAAATAGAAGATGGGCGCGAAACGCCCTAAAAGCCCAGTCTTTTATAATTAAATATTACTGAAAAAAAAATATTTGATTTGATTTGAAAAACAAAAATACGATAAAAGGACTACAATTGGGAAATTATATGAAACGATTAGGAAATTAAGGACTTCAATTAGGAAGTTATGAAATAAGATTAGGAAATTAAGGACTTCAATTGGGAAGTTATGAAATACGATTAGGAAATTAAGGACTACAATTAGGCAGCTATGAAATACGATTAGGAAATTAAAGACTACAATTAGGAAGTTATGAAATACGATTAGAAAATTAAGAAATACTAGATAATTCAGTAAAAGACTACGATAAGAAGCTTAAGGAATGCGAAAAGGAAGGATCTGGAAGAATTACGGATGCATGCTTATAATTAGAGATGGGCGAACTCGCATTTTTTTCATTTCGTTCGTTCATCGGTCGTTAACGACCCACTTTTTCTTTTCTATCGTTAAGGATTAAGATTGTTAGAAATTAAAACGAATGTGTATCAATCAGATTAATTCTTTTGAGTAATGATTAAAAAGATTTATTAAGATATATGAAGATTTATGAAAAATGAAGAGAAAAGATATAAAGTAAATTGATGAAAATAATAATATCAATAATAGATTTTACGGTTAAAAGTATTTAAATCATAACTAACCTTAGCACCAGTTAAAACCACTTTTCCACTTACAAATATTAAAAGCACGATCCTAAAACATTTTTCAACATCAGGCTTAACAAGATACTTATTAAATCACATGTCAAGTTAAATTGCTATCCATTGGACAATTAAAAGTCATATTTTAAGTCTAAAAATCGCCTTCATATTCCAGAGAATTCTGGTTCTAATAATCGCACAAAATTACGATCAATGAGATTTGTATCTTTAAACTTGAAATAATTATCTCATTAGGTTTAAACTGTTTCCAAACGCTGCTGTTTGAAATTTCACCGATTTTGGCTCCCAGATTTTTTCAGCTCACTAATAAAATTGAGACATGAAGGATTTATATTGGAAGTTTATTGCTTTTCTTTTCTTTAGAAATCAGTTCTATTTATTTATATTCAGATCTTGTGCGTGATCTTCATAACTTTGTAATATTCAGATCAACAAATCATTTCTAACCGAACTTTTTTATTAACTATTAAAATAGAATATTAATTGAAATGTAATATGTTCTTATGGACAAATTTTGGAGAACCAAACTGCAAAAACGTCAAATATTTCTGCTTATTTTTATCTCAAAATTTCTTCATTCAAAACATCTACATTAAAGAGACCGAAGGGTGAAAACGTAAGTCATATGTTGATAGAACTTGCGAATTTATGCGACGATGTAATTGAATAAAAGTCACAGAATTTAACCCGTTAAATAGGAAAACAAGGATATCTTTTTATCCTTGATCAGAAGATTTAAGGGTTGTTGGAAATAACATTGAAAATGTATTGGGAATTTTACATCACAGCTCCCAACCAAGGAAAAAACATTGAAAATGTATTGGGAATTTTACATCACAGCTTCCAATCCAGAAAAAAAAACTTTACATCACCAACTTAACTAGAAAAAAAAAGAAAAAAAAACATCACAGCTACAACTCCCCACTAACCTCCCAAAATGTATTGGGAACTTTTTTTGGGTAAGTAGGAGGGATTCATACTTACCCAAAAAACATAAAACTAAACCAACGAGGTTAAAACCAAACCCTTCAAGACTGATTCAGAATTAAGCATTACAATAATGAATAAATGCTGTTAACCGTTTTGGTTCGTTATTTAAAAACTTTTACTTTTACTAAAACAGCCAAGATATAAAAATATAGGAAAACGAGTCAAAAACGATAAACATAACACTTTCGTTTTTGGGTCGTTTTTGTCTCGTTTTTTGCATATATTTTATGTCAGGATCAAAATTTGGCAAAGTGTAAGCAAATTATTTTGAAAACATTTGCTCTTTTTTAATTATGCCAAATTTTGACCCTGAAAGAACAAGGCCAAAAACGAACAAGAAACGCACCAACTTAATGCACATCACAAATTACAATTCCCAACCTGGAGAAAATAATAACTTTCAACAAATAAGTTCATACAAAGATTGTAACACTATTTTTCATATTTCTAATGTTAAATTATCAAAAGTAATATCTACCATGTTCTGAATTTTGAAATCCTTGAATTTGGTTGGAAATCCCAGTTTCTGGATAATTCTTGCGTATTTCCTGGCGGCTAGCCGAGATTCTTCTTCAGACTTAGCTCCAGTACACACCATCTTACCTAGGTTAACAACATCTTACTTAGGTTATACAGGACACACCTTCTTACCTAGGTTAACAACATCTTACTTAGGTTATACAGTACACACCATCTTACCTAGGTTAACAACATCTAATATTTAGGTTATACAGTACACACCATCTTACCTAGGTTAACAACATCTTACTTAGGTTATACAGTACACACCATCTTACCTAGGTTAACAACATCTAATATTTAGGTTATACAGTACACACCATCTTACCTAGGTTAACAACATCTTACTTAGGTTATACAGTACAAAGTGTAAACACCATCTTTACTAGGTTGTAAATGTATATTAATTGTTTATACTTTCATGAGAGAAAAGAGTGCAAACCTGAGCTAAAAATTAGCGCCGTTGTTCTTGGATCTCTGATGCGCATAATAACTGCAGCAAAACGTTTAGGATTGTACTCAGCGTTACGTGCATGCAGTGCAATCTTCTTCAAATCCAGCTTACTTCCCATATTCACGGTTGAGACAATATTCTAGACAGAAAGTAGATTAATTGATTAACCTTTATTTCTTTGTGCACCTTAAATGTAGAAAGCAGATGAATTACAGAATTTAGAATTTCTATTATTTTCGCAAAATCACCAAAAAAAGTTCAACATTGTACAATGTACATCCAATCTTTGACCTCCTTTGACCTTGGGCCATCTATTTTAAAGAAACAATTTTGAAAGAGGGGAAGGTGGGGAATAGAACAAAAATGGTAAGTTTCCTTCATCTTCTTTAATACTTTTCAGTTTTTGCCAAAAGTTAAGTGTAAGGAAGTTTTAAAAGGAAAATATCGTCCACGGGCCTCTCCCCTTCCGCTACTTGTCCTACCCTGCCTTTCCTCGTCCTCTCCTTGTCCTAACCTGCCTTTCCTCGTCCTCTCCTTGTCCTACCCTGCCTCTGCCCGTCCTCTACTTGTCCTGAAGTACCTGAAGTTGTGGGATGATATCGTTGGCTGCAGGTGTAGACATCGACATTATATTGGACAGGGGCCCCATTGCAGGGGAGGGTGGAGCAGGACTGGCCACAGGGGCGTAGACAGGGGCTATCTGGCCGGAAAGGGCGGCCTCCATCCCCCGCCCGGACATAGGGGTGGCCCCAGTAGACAGAAGGGCCTGGGGTGTGTTCGCCAGTAAATTCTGAAATTTAGAATAACTGTTCAGTTCAAAGTCAATATTCTTCTAAAACTTTTCTTAAAAACACACTTACTTCGCTAGCGGGGGGGAGGGGGGTAATGGGTAATCAATGGTAATCACCGCCACCCAAACGTGCTTTGCGGCATGCACGCTCCTCAATTGGTAATATCTACAACCTGATTAGGTAATCAGACAAAAACAGCGTAACATTAAATCGTTTATTTAAATAAATATCCAGACAAAGCTGTGTTTCCGAGCTATTAATATACATTAGTACTCAGGGGTGTATATTTTTCAGAATTACACCCCTGAGTTCCCCCCCCCACCCCCAAAAAAGCATTTAATTTCCCTGAAAAATCATTCATTTTCCCCAATTCAGCGAAAAAAAAACAAAAAAAAATATTCTTCTCGAGAAAAAATTGATTTTCTAAAAGGCGGGGGGAATGATTTGTTAGGAAAATATACACCCCTGTAAAACACTACCTGGGGCGTGTGGTGCCCCGTTGATAGCATATTTTGAGGAGTGAACCCAAAACTGTAAAGATTGCCCCCTCTATTCTGCTGCTGCTGCTCCTAAATGGATCAAAATAAACAATAAAAAAATTCTTTGCACAATCAAATATTTTCTTTGCGCTTTTTTACCCGGGCTGGGAGGAATTGGGGGTAACAACCATTTTGACAATGAATTAATCAAAGAGTCATATTAAATATTATTTTTATTTGAATAAAATTATTTTCTAGAAATATTCATTTTTTTTTTAGAAAATCCAGAATCCAATTAAGCCATAGAATGCAATTTAACATTTATAAAGTGTCGTCTTTTAATCCTGCTGATAATGAAATGTTGCAGCAATTTTTTTTTCATTGAATAATTATATTGAGCTTTTTAAAACTGTTCCCGCATATTTCATGGCTGTTTATATTCTATAACAATTTCTGAGATTTAGGTCTATTAGTAGAAAACCTATTGAAAACTGTCAACACAACATTTAATAAATTCTTTTGATGTCTCTGAACTTCTGGGTTAAATGTAGTTTGATAAAATTTTTTTTTACCTGGGCCGAGGGGGCAATCATTTGATCCTCCTCCATTGCATGATGAGGAGTACCTATATTGTATAATCGACATCGACATCGACATCGACATCGACATCGACATCGACATCGACATCAACATCGACATCGACATCAATGTCAACGTCAACATATATCAACATCATTAAGTTGTGTTCCTAATTCCCAAAAATTTGGGTATTATAAGTTTTCTTTAATTCGTGATCTATCCCTTTAAAGAGGGTGTTTATGAGAAAATGAAAGTTGTGTAAAATTAACAATTAGCTAATCAATCAATCCATCAATCGATCAATCATTTATATTCGATATTTCTGAAAAGAGAATTTGTCGTTAACATTCAAGTACAGTGTACAGTGTGCACTATCCTGTCTACTGCACTAATTTTAGGTAGTGTACACTGGGTAGATGGGGGGGGGGGATTATTAGGCCTATTAAACATGGCTCTCGTCCAATCCTCATTCCAGAAACATCACATTGAATTCTTAAAGGGACAGTTGACATAATTCCGATGAAAGCCTGAAATGCCCGTTAAATCAATTTTGAGATGGAATCACATGCATAACTCCATTATTTTTTAATGATCCAATAATAATTTAAAGGTTACAATTTTTGATCGGACATACCACTCTGTAAATAAAAAAAAACCTCTTTTTCCAAATTTGTTCCTTAGCCCTTCCCTCTTCTTTCTCTTTTTCCCTTTTCCTTTCCGTTTCCCTTATATCCCCTTTTTTATCATCCACCCAAAACCCCTTTAATAGAGCTCAAAGGGGTGGGAAGCAAAAATATACATCCCTGCCGACTGTCCCTTTCTTACGGTCAAAATAATTAGTAATAACTTACCAATATCAATATCATCCAGAGCTGGGGACGGTAGCATATTATCCATAGCGAATTATTTTTATTATTTCTGAAAAAATAAAAAATACAATTTTAAGACTTTTGAGAATGCTGGCCAGGTGTTAAACTGCCTATGCATAAATAAGATTAGGGGGCCTCAAATTCTTTTAATAAAAATATGGGGACCACATATTTACACCAAATTGATAAACTTAAAAAAAGTCCAATTTTTTATCAAAATTTGCGGGTTTATTAGTTTTCAAAGAAAAATAGAACACAAGATTTTTCAAGTAACCATGTTGAAATTAGAGGCGTCCTTATTCATAAAGGTTCTTGATTCATCTCAGGGCGGTGAATCATTGTTTTTGAACACTGACAGAAAAGTTTAAATGGTACACAAAAATTCTTTTTCCTGCAATATTTTTTTAAGTTAACTACGTTGTGTTGACGTCATTTAGATATTTGTTTTGCTCCAGTTATATTGGTACCAGATACATTCAGGTAGGTCAGTGTATTCCCACAAATCTGAAGTATTTGTAGTAGTCCATTGTCAGAGAGTTGTTCGCAGTTACTTAAGTTCAGGTTTTCTAGACAAGGCAGAGTTCCATTAAATTCGCTCAAAATTTCTCCAGAAATGCTTGAGTTTGACAATGTCAGACATTTTATTGTACTTCTAATCTGCTTTAATGTTTGCAAAAACCAAACATCATCAATAGCTGTTCCATAAATACCAGAAAGATCTAGAGTTTGGAGTTGTTTTGAATACATCTTGAAATCAGTTTTAAGAATAATTTTGGTACTCCCAATTATTGTAAAGGAGGACAAGGATGGAATCGACAATATTGGATTCAATCCAGTTGATGTCAATTTACTGACTGAGACAAAAAATCTGTTTTTTATGCCAAGTTGAAACATCAAAAGTTCCGGATGTTTCTTTACAAGATACTCAACACCATCATCCGTAGCATCCAGAACTTCAAAACCTAATACTGTCTCAATGGCATCAGCAAACTTGATCATCTGAGTTGTTGAAAATTGGGTAGAAAATCTCCATTAATGAACCAGCTTATCTCCACATCCGTCCACTCTCTCCTTGAGTAGTAGAAACTCCCCTCAGCATCTTCTTACCCCTGTAGTCCAAGAATTGGACAATATGCCTGACCACTTCTGGACACATAACATCTAGGGCTGGGGTCAGTGCACTCATCACAGCAGGTAGAGTGTTTGTGTTAGTATCATCTGCACCAGTGTTGCTGGGCTCCAACATTTTTAGCTAATAGAGGCTCTGAAAAAGCATTGTAAAGTACACATTGTAAGAAGAGTACTACTACTACTTTGAGTCACCCAATATCCCAATATCCCAATATCCGAACAACATGCTAACAGGTTTTTTAATCTTACAGACATAAAAGGATAATTCTTAGTGTGTCCGATTTGGGAAAAATAAGCCAATTCAAAATAATCTTTCATTCTTTTTTTCTACAATTAAAAAAACTTCTGGTTAATATTTAATAAAATGAAACAAGTAAAGCTGGCAAGATGTAAAATAATTTTTTTTAAATTATCCGATCCAATTTTTAATTAAATACTATCTTTACTCATCAAGGTATTTTACTTATCCAAAATATTAATAATTTAATATCTAGATCTTCAGGTATATCAAGCTATTAACATTATAACATCTTTCTTGCGCATCTCTTTCATACCGAGATCTTCAACGTTTAATCATTTATAAACATTTAATATATTTGGCATTCAATTTCCCATTCAGATTTTAACATGGATTTTTGTTGTACTTTAGACCAAGGCTAATTGTAAGGAATATTGTTTCTTTAACGCTATATTTTCAGAACTAAAGATCGATTGAATTAACGTACAATTGCACTGAAGTCAGCTGTTCACAACCCTTTTTAGTCCATTGAAACATTAGTACATATGGACAAAATAGAAATTAATTATTTTCCAAATGAACTAATTAGATTATTAATTATTATCTTTTTTAAAAAATTGCATCGTATTTTAGAAATTTGTGGCTGTAGCACCAGCCCTCTTGCTTGTCCTAGCGGCAGCGCTCGGTCCCCTAGAATGTCCTAACCACAGCACACGGATCCCTAGCCTGTCCTAGCTGCAGCACTCGGCCAAATAAATTGTCGTAACCTAACCTAACTCTCAAATATTAAGATTACATCATATAATTTTTTTGTGTAAAAACAAAACGTTATTTTTTTACAAGTTGTGACACTTCGAGCATTTGAAATGGGCACAAATTGAAAGATCGAGTATTTGGGATCCCGGCCTATATTGTGAGTAAAGGTCGAGATAATAAACTAAGACATTCTTCTTACTATGTATAAAGCCCGACGAGAACAATTTCCAATATTAATTTTTTTCTAATATCACAATTAAAGATATATTTTTGTATTAAAACATTAACTGTTTTGAAGACATTGCTGCAGAGCTGAAAGCTTTAGAATAGGATATCCTTATTCCATGATCGCTTAATCTGAGCATCCAATAAACACACTTATGATTTTATTTTTGATCCTCTTTTTTAGATATGATCCCTACCGTATAAAAGTTACGTTTGGTATCAATAAAAATACGATGCTTTATCGATTGGACTAATATCCGATTGAACTACAGTCAGCTGTTTACAAGCCAGCTTTTAGAGCATTTAAACAAATTAGATTTAATCATGTTAATATGAACTTAAAAAAAACATATTTTATCACATTTGAGGACTATAGCCATTTTGAACGTTCGTCTTAAAATAATTAATCCAAAACTTACGTTCGTTCAATCAAATGATACAATTGATAAGACACCATCAACACCAAAAATGCGCAAAAATTAAAAACCGGTTTTACAACAGAAAGAGCTTATCTCTTTTCTCTAGAAACAAATCTAAAGAAAACATTAGTCTTGATATTAGCAAAAAAAGAGAATCGGTATATTCCTAGAGAAAGATTTTAGGCCCCCCCCCGGCCCCCCCCTTCCTATCAATGTTGTACATGGGTCTGACAGGAAGTGTCTTAACTTAAATTAACCCGTGGCCGCAGTGCTAGGCCCCCTAGCCTGTCCTAGCCGCAGCGCTCGGCCCAGAAAGTGTCTTGACCTAACATAAATAAATACTAATTTNGGGGGGGGGGTCCAAAAATCGTTCACTAGGACAGACCCCGAACATATCCTTAACTTGAATCATTGTCTTATTTGAAACAAATCCACATTCCCTTTCTGAGTATAATCGGCATTTCAAAACAAAACTGATTTTCTTAATTTACTCAATAAATCACTAAAAACAAAAATTATCTTATAAAGAATAAATTAACTGCCGAATTATTTCAAGAATATTGGTTTCCGCATTTTATTTGTTATATAAAAGAACAACCATGATTTTTTCTAACATTTTAAAAGTAAAAGTGAATAAATTAAAATGATAGCTAATGAGTTAAAATCTTAAAAATTTGCGAGAAAAATAAACAGCTAACAAATGTATTAAAGAATATAATCTAAAGAACTTATTTTTTGTTACAGAAAATAGTCCGCGGCACTGCACGCGTGCGGTGTGACGTGAGAATCCGTCCGGTGTCGTGTATAAAGATTCGAGAGCCTACATACCACCAACACAATGTCTATTAAATCATGTTAACACAATTTTAGACATCCAAGCTAATTTTTTTTGAACATTTAGAATTATTTGTTTGCGTAAATGAAAGCGAATTTAGTTTTAAAATGAAGTATTTAAGGGGAAAATGCAAAAAAATTGAGTTTCCGTGCAAAAAGTCGCCTTCCTTTCAAATTAACAATCATTAACTCTTAAAAAACATATACTATTAATTGTAGAAGGTTTGCCCAATCAAATAATATTATACAAATACAATACCTGACAAACCATGGGCAAAACTTTTTTTAATCGTTAAGAAACGCTTTTTTAGGTCGAGTTACGATGCAGAAACGTTTCTGCACTGTAAAAAAATCGGAATGTCGTGTCAAAACTTCAGTTTTGATGTATGTTAAAACGGGTTGAACACTATGGCAGGCCAGTTGCTAGGAATTTCTTAAGGGTGGGGGTGGGGAGGGGTACAAAATATTAGAAATAAGATAGTGTGACGGGCACGCCTTAGGCGAAAATNCCCCCCCCCCCCGAGACGGGCCTGCACTTTTATGTGCTAGGCTCTTCATAATGTGCATGAGTTAAAAGTGTGTGTCGATAAAATCACGTCTTATCCTAAACTATACTTTTCTAATTTCTTTTCTTTTTTAGATACTGTAAAGACAATTGTAAAAATTGCAATCCAAAAAAATCTGAGCTTATGACCAAGATTTGAACCGCTATTTTACATGTCAAACCTGATAAATAGGAAAGTGGCCTGACATTGTAAACTTTATAAAGACAAATTTTAACCATAAACAAAATGTATTAAATCTTTTTTAGTTGACAACAAAAATTGTAATAGGTGAAAATAAACAAATAAAAAAATTGATAAAACACAGTTTTTGTTAATAATTAACATACGTAAATAACATAAGTTTAACAGATTCGACGTACAATTTTGTATGGCAAAATTAAGAGTGGTCGTAATAAAGTTAAATGGAAACATGAACCATGATCAAATTGTGAACTAATTGTCTCAATTCCTTAATGTACCTACTGAAATTTTAAAAAGTTAGATTTGAAAAATCTTAAGCTTACCCCAAAATAATGGTAAAACGATTTTTCTCTAATAGCCGAATTTAAACAATCCAAATTAAAGTAAATATAGTCAACAAGTCTGATTTGATAAATAGCAAAACGTAGTTGACCTATGAATGGTTAGTTTAACTACTTCTCCAGTGCACTCTTGAACTCACTAGAGCAGTAATTGAATAAGTCTAACCTAGTTCATCTACTTATTGCTATTCATTATTTCCGACCACCTATTTGTGATTCAATTATGGTTCATTCTATTAAAGCTTATAGTTTTCACAAACAATGAGTTTCTAAAAACATTTATTCGGGAATTTTGTTTATTTTTTCCAAATCCAGTCCAAGGTTCACGTCTCCTTCATATCCATTGTGTTCTATAGCCTAAAAAAGCAGGGCCTATATTTTTTTAGAATTATCAAGAGTGGGGGAGGATTTTTAATATTTTAGGGAAAATTAGAAAAATAAAGTTTCTTTTAATTTAATAATTTCATTTTCATTCAAATAAGGCTGAAACTATAAGGGCACTTTTTAATAACAATGCTGAAATCCACCTTGCACTATGAAACATTTTTAAACTAATGAGTTAATTTTTTACCATTTGAACTTATTCAGATAAAATTTTAGCCTTGAATCGAACAAGTTTTTACCCACATATGGACGATTTTCAGCGATTTGCAACGCAGCTTTTGATATACCCATATCAACGCAACAAAAAAAAACTAAATCGACCTCTTTCTCATAATGATAAATTGGTACTGTTTTTAATTTAACTTAACGGCTATCATAATTACCAATTTACTATTGTATGATGAAATATTCACCATAATAATGAAAGAAAGCGCAATTCACTAATTGTTACAATTGATCTTAATTTGATTCGTTGCTTTTTAACTATTTTTTAGTGTAATGAGTGTACACTGTAACCCTGTATTATAGTAAGACAGTAATTACCTCTAATCTGGCCAGATAATGAGAAGGAAGCGAGTGCTCACGTGCCCCTGTTAGAATAACATCCAGATAAACCTTTAAATTTTTTAAATAAATAAAAATTATTAAAAATTGTGTTTGTAAAAGGTTTAGAGATTTGTGCAAACCTTAAAATCAATTTTAAAGAACCAGGGACCGTATTTAATGAATTGGAGAGGTTGCTTAGCTGAGATTTAAAAGTTAAGCCCGACATGCGAAATTACTCACGCGTTTATGGAGACTCGAGTCTTTGGATGGATTCTGAGTGATACAGATTCAACCAATGAGAGATGCTTTCAAAGCTTGTCTGCATATGGTATGCATGATCAGCTGATAGATTTAGCTTTCCTCAATGTAAATTTCGAAAACTCGAACTTTAAGTATAAACATTATTTCGTTAGTGTTTATTTAATATAGAAATTTAAATTGAAAATAAAACCTTGCTTGGTCGTTTGTCAGGTTCATCCGGCTTCACAAGATAATATGTGTACGCAATTTCACTCCTTCCATCCTCTAATTCAACCTGGCATCAATAGCATCAATATCAAGATCAAGATCAAGATCAAGATCAATTTTTTTACCCGAACTTCCATCCTTTTATAAACTCTAGGTACTCCTTCCTGCTTGTCTAAAGTCTCAAGATGCTCCTAAAACAGTAGCTTTAAAAATCTTCAGTTATTAATTATTATCCTAAACCCTTGAAAACCAATTGTTTTCCAAAAGCGTTTTAAGGTTTTTTAAATACTAAATAAAAACGTTTAAGCAAAAAATATCATTTGGGGAGAGGAAGTGAAGGGGGGGGGGTAGATAAAATGTGTTTAACCTGATCAAGTTCCCAGAGTACACCCCACACATGTTCTCCTTCATGAGGAACTAAAGTAGCCGGTGCTCCTTGCCACCTCTATATATATCAATGTCCAATACAGACTAGTTTTAAATATCAAACAAAGACAGGATATGACAGGGAAAATGCAGAACAGAGAAAAGACAGATGAAAAGGCAGGAATAGGATAGGATAGGGACAGGGATCTGTAACAAGACAGGACAAAGACAAAGACTGACAGGACAGAAGAGGCACGACATAATATTTGTAAAAAGAATAAAATTAAATAATATACGTTCATACATAGATTTCTCAATTATCCGATGAATAAAATAGCACCTTAGAGAAGTAGTTGAAGTCTAATTTATAGTCGGACAACTTTGCTATACTTCGAAACCTACATAAAAAAAAGGTTAAAGCGTTGAGGAAATCCTTCTTTTAACACATTCATATGAATATTTAATAGCCTATTTCCCAACGCAGATACACAGATTTATAGAAAGAGCTGAATTTTAAGAAAATAAAAAATTTCGTTCCCTTAGGCTGAAAATGTATTTTAATTTTCTGAATTATAAACAATAATCATGATTTACAACAACTTTAAACAAAGAATTTTTTAGTCAATTCTTCAAACAATCTATCATTCAATCAATCAATCAATTAATCAATAAACTAGTTAATTACAAAGGTTTTCAGGAACCACTTTAAGGAAGATATTTAAAAAGTTTGATGAAAGATCAAAATGACTATTAAGGCCGCTTCTTTGTCTCTGTTAATGGCATAAAAGATAACTAAATACACAGCACAATATTAACAATCATAAAACTGTCAAATTATGAAGAAAAAATTACATTTTAGAGGGAAGGAAGCTGGGAGGGGTTTAATAGAATGTTGTAAGACCCTGCAAAACAAAATATTTTAAAGATAACCTTGCTGACGGATTATTAATCCTGATTCTCTGACTTGAAAGATTGGATCCGAATGCAAAATAAGAAAATGTAGATTGAGATTTCTCCAGAATTCCTCCACCCAGTCCCTCCATTCTCAATACACTGAACAGGTTTTTTTTTGCAGGGGATGAAACTTATAACTATTCTATGTTCAAAAACTTACACGCAGTGTCAAGTTTGGAACAAACAAGTTTTTAAACTTTCCTTTTATGAAAAGTTTATAATATGTTTTTATCTCACAAACATTGCTCAAGATCCGGATCCGGATCTAAAATTTTTTTGTGACTTGCATCCGGATTTGTTTATTTAAGTGGATCGTGGATGTATTCTAATTATTTCTATTAATAGAAATGTTTTTGAATTTTGATACGGGTATGCGATCAATATAATAAGTTCAGTTAAGAGCAAAACCTTGGTTTAAAATTCAACTAGAAACTTTCTTTGAATAATGAATCAGCGTAGCAATATTTATAAGATAATTGAATTTTACATTCTAAAAACTACAATATTCATCACCAATCTGTTAATTTTGGTATTAATAATTTATAACTCAAATTAATATTTTTCGAGTGCTTACGTTATTTTCCTTTATTTGTTAAAACTTTCTTCCATAATCTCACATGCACATATATTCAGGCATCAAACTAAACTTACGGCTTAATAAGTTGCTTAATGTATTGAGCCATATTATAATCTAAAACATTTTATTATTTCTAACAAAGATTGAATTAAAGCTTTTAATTCACATCACACACTTAATCATATATTGGGTCTGTCTTAGAGAACAATTTTAGAACCCCCCCCCAAGTCAATTTTGGGTGTCGTATCGTTTGCACTAAAGATTGATCGGACTAACGTACATTCGCACTAACGTTCATTCGGACTAACGTTTTATTTAAGGGTTAGGTTAGGTTAAGACAATTTCTGGGCCGAGCGCTGCGGCTAGGACAGGCTAGGGGGCCGGGTGCTGCGGCCACAAGTGTTACTGATCAGCTGACTTTAGTGCAAAAGTACGTTAGTTCAATCGGACATTAGTGCAAACGATATAGCATCCATTTGATACTTGTTTTGATAACGCGTTGATAATACATACATAGTTTATTACAACTTTGATACTAGTTTTATTTAGAAGTTGATCTACTGTTTTGAAAATACGTTGATACTTATAGTTTTGAAAAGACTATAAAACTTATTTTTGAAAAGATGTTGAGACTATTTTTGTAAAGACGTTGATACTTGTTTTGAATTTTGATAAGACTTTATTACTTGTTTTGTTAAGACGTTGATAGTAGTTTTACAAAGACTATGATACTTATTTGAAAAGACGTTAATACTAGTTTTGATAAGTCATAGACAGGTATATGCTACATATTTTTGAAAAAAAGGTTGAGACTATTTTTGTAAAGACTTTGATACTTGTTTTGTTAAGTCGTTGATACTAGCTTTGATTAGACGTTGATACTAGTTTTGATTAGACGTTGATACTAGTTTTGATTAGACGTTGATACTAGTTTTGATTAGACGTTGATACTAGNAGAGTTTGAGGCGAGTAATTACATGAATTTAGGAAATATTAAAATGCATGGGTTACTTGCCAAGAATAGACTTGAACCTGATGAAATAGATTTTCCAGTGGACGAGAATATGCTGGAGAAACCCAGGTATACAGGGTCTCTAGAACAAAATGGGAAAAGGAAGACGACAAGAGGAAGATTAAAATAAGTATCTTGTTCAATATTAGAGTGTCAACCAAACATCCGAATTCTACGGAAATCAATTTATCTTAGATTGAGCACTGAAAAGATTTTTACAATTCTACCTAGCATAATCCTTCGCGTAAAGATGGAGTCAAACTTTATATAAACTCCACCAGAAAACAATTGAATGGGAAGACGACATTACATCAAAACTTAAGTGTATTTGATGTTGTTACAAAGCAAATAGACTTATTTTACACTTATTGAATCACCAATTTAAAGAAATGGGTCTGTTAACAATGCACAATTATTTTGTCTCATCCTGGATTATTTGACTTTTAAAAGTTAAATTTGATTGTTAAACTCGTCTTCCTAATTTAGAGTTTTCTTTTATCACTGTGTAGAAACTGCTAATCATACTCAACATGTATACATTGGTTACTAATTAAAGATTATGATTTCATTTTCTTACAAAAATAAAAAAATTTAAGGAAAAAAATAATGTGCACTGTGATCAAATATTTAAAGGAATTGAGTCATATAGGCACAAACTCTGATTTACTTATCCCTACTTATCTTTGCAACCTGGTTTTTAAACCTTAATTTTTTCAAACTTATATTCTTTGATCTAAGAGAATTTGTGCCAATTAGACTCAATTCCCTTTCAGGATACGAAACAGTCTTCTAGAGTTTGAGTTGGACTACGGCCGATCTCTAGGACTTGGTAAACAAATTTTGAAAATAATTTTCCTTATTATTCTTTAAAAGCGCTTCGGACTCACAACAAATTTTCGATGAGTTTTTGTTATAATTCCTAGATCTGTCGTTTTCACTTTTATATGCTGCAAACAAACAAGTGTAATTTAATGAAAAATTTATGTATAAACTTAAAAACTTTTTGTGATATAATTTAGTTTGATTTTTAAACATCCGCTAAACTGTGTCGGAAATTTTCCCAAGTTTTCCGTGGATCAAAGATCTCATGTATATTTGAGATCCTAAAATGTATTAAAATGTTTTAATTTGAAGCTGATATTTTAAATATATAGATACAAATAGACAATTTTAAATTTTAATATTTTAGATCCTTTGTCTCTGCACAGTAGCGCTGATTCAATTCGAGGAAATTTGAAACAGATTAAATTCACGGAATAGCAAAAAACGTTTCTACTAATGCAAGGCTATATCCATATGATTACAAAGATTGCACGGATTACACAGATTACACAGATTACACAGATTACACAAATTACACAAATTACACAGATTACACCGATTACACAAATTAGACAGATTATACAGATTACACCGATTACACAGATTACACAGATTTCACAGATTACACACGTTGCACAGATTACAGAGATCACAGAGATTGCACAGATTACACAAATTACACAGATTACACAGATTACACAGATTTCATAGATTACACAGATTACACAGATTACACAGATTACCCGAATTACACAGATCACACAGATTACACAGATTGCACAGAATACACAAATAAAAAAAATGAAAATTGAAATTAAAGCCATTTACAATTTACAATTTATTATTTACAAAATACTGCCATTATACACTTAAGCATTTACAATTTACAATTTACAATTTACAATTTACAGTTTACGATTTACAATTTACAATTTACAATTTAGAAATTTATAGTTTGGTCAGTAATAAACATTTGCCATTAAATACGCCTAGGCATTTACAATTTAAATTTGCAAATCCTTCATTCACAATATGTATATTTTCATCCATAAACATCTACATTTCCAATGAATTATATACAAATTACAATTTACTTATATATGACAATTAACAAATAGGTTGTAAATTTACAAAATGACAAAGGAACATTACACCTGAGGCCGAATTTAAAGAATTTTAGCCGGGGTTTAAATTTAAATCACGGCTCAAATATGGTTGTTTCCACTTAAATTTGTAATAACTTTTTAAGATTTAAGCCGGTGGTTCATTAAAACCGGTTTTTGGGGTATTTAAGACGTGGCTTAAATTCATTAAATTCGGAAAATGGTCTCATACAGAGCGTCTAAAGTTTTGGGCTCTGTTCCATCTCAGGGGTTATAGTATATAGTAAAGGTTATCCAATTTATCCAAATACAGCTCGTATTAGCACCTTGGTATTAGCGCAATCTATTCTTCTAGGTATACAATACATACTGCAGCCAATAGAAGCGTAAAAAATAGGGTAAAATTTGTTTTGATTATCTAGAGTGTTCGGTCACCTTGGAAACCTCCTTCCACGAACGAAAAGGAGGTAAGTCTAGAATAATCTAGGAAAATCTAGAATAGTCTAGAATAATCTAGAATAATCTAGAATAATCTAGAATAATCTAGAATAATCTAGAATAATCTAGAATAATCTAGAATAATCTAGAATAATCTAGATTAATCTAGAATGGTCTAGAATAATCTAGATTAATCTAGAATGGTCTAGAAGAATAATCTAGAATAATCTAGAATCGTCTAGAATAGTCTAGAATAATCTAGAAAGAATATCTACATTCCACACTTAGACTCATAAAACCGTGTAATTGAAAAATTAAAAACGATCGATTTAAGCATTCTGATGAGAATTTAATGTTGTTATAAAGCTAACATCAGCTTGAACTTCTATTATGTGGAATTGGTCTGTGTAAACAGCTGCTGGGTGTCATGTTCTTTTGATAATTTAAAATCAAAATTTGAAGTCGTCTTCTTATTCCACAGTTTTATGGGTCTCAATGTACTTGTTTAGTTTTATTAATGTTTAGGACCTTCTAGAACACCTTCAAGATTATCAATGGTGGCAAAGGTAACAAATACTCTTAATAATTTTAACTTTTTCTTACTCATAATTACTTAATGCAGACATTAAAAGTAACACCAACCTCCAACAATAATAAATTTCGCGGGTTTCCAACAGTTTTATAGAAATTTTTCGAAGCACTTTTTAAAAAAAAATTTAACCGGGTATGCATAAACCTTCCCTACAGGACACAAACAAGCTTAGCCGTTTAGACGTTTATTAGGAAAGCAAACAAACAGACTAAATAGTATTTCCAGGGACCTAATTCAAAAAAATTTGAATCTGGTCGCTGAACTACTAACTACCAGTTCAACTTTGAATCACCGATGTAAAGTTAAGAATTGGGAGGATTTGAATCGGCGATTCAAATTTGACCTGGGGTTATTTAGTTCAGCGAGCTCTCCACTTCATTAAATTTGGATTTTGGACCCTAGTAGTTTTTGTTAAACTAATTCGGAAAATTTATTTGATTTTTCTGAAAACTTTTTTAGACAGGATTCAAGATTAAATCATCCGAAAAATATACAATTTTTGAAATTTAAAATTTAACAGAATATTGAAATCAGATCAACAATTACTTCTTAGTACCTGGAATTTGTATGGAATAATCTTTTTCTTTAAAGTTGGAAAATATGTTTATTATTTTCTATGTTATATTCTATATCTATAAATTTGTTATTTGCTCTGAAAATACAATTTTTAAAAAAATTTATTTTTAAATTAAATATTTTTAACAAAATTTTAAAAAAGGTCTTAATGTGAATAAAATATTAATTATATGTTTTTAAAGGGACTATATGAACAAAATTTGAAGTGAGTGTGAGCCTCCATTTGGAGATTTAGATACCCTTTAAAACTTCAATTGAGCATCGATGAGGAGGATATCGTCGTCTTTCTAGAAAAGTGTTTAATTCTGCCAATATCCTTTTTCTCTGCCGCAAAAATCGTCACGTCACTTTTGCAGAGAAATTACATTTGGAAATGATCAATTTTCAAATTGAAAAACAGAAATACATCATTTTTACTTACACAAGGGTTAGGATGTTATCAGTTTGTAACTTGAAATTACGTCCACAGTCCCTTTAAGGTGGTTGGGGCCACCAGTATGATCGCGAAGAAGATGAGTGAGAAGAGCGGGAAGGACGAGGACTACTTCAAGAACCTGGACAAGTGCTATGATATTAACAGCTACGAGTCTGAATATAAGCAAGGACTTTTTGTCAGGTACAGGGTTACCCACAAAGGATGAGACTTCAAAGACGACCGGAAACCCTTAAAATATAACGATCCCGAATTTAAATCAAAACTTCTGCCTTAAATATAGTATATTAATGACTTATTTAATGATTTGGCACAGAGAGAGAAACAAGTTTACATTCGCAGAAACGAAATGAATATAAAGAAATAGATAATACTAATTCGCTACAGTCGGCTCTGAAGTAAGGTTTCCACCGAAAAAAATGCAAAAATTTCGAGGAGCAATGCGAAAAAAATACGAGAAAAATTATAAATTTATGGTTTATCTAATAAAACGTTTAATGCTGAGCTCTGAGCAGAGAATTCCACAAGTTTTTATTTCGAGCAACTAATTGTGAAGCTACAACACTTATGGTTTTCGCGGAATTTTTTTTCGCGAAAAAGTTTGTGAAACATAATCGAAAATTTTCGTGAAAGTTTCCGTTCGCTGGAAACCCTAATAAAAATATATAAAGAAGCAATCTCTGTTCGGCTGTCTGTTTGTGTTTGATCATAACTCACGAACCCAGCTGGACCAATTTGCTTCAAATTTTGATTAGGGAACTTGGTATAACCACAGGAATGTTCTTAGTTTGATTTAAAATTTAAAAGTTATGTAGGTTGACACTTATGGTGAAAACTCCAGGCACCGCTGGATTCCAAAGTTATTATTTGATAAAATAATTGAATTGTCATGTTTAGCACACATAGATTCAGACTGTCATACAAATTCTCCAATAGACCGGGTTGACTGGGAAGTGTCACAACGTCTTGGCTTTTGATTTTACAGCACTAACTCACCAATACTTTTTTGTAGTCCTAGACATATGTTTTTTACAGCTAAAAGCCATTGCTTCTAGCTCATTTATCATTTAGTTTTGCGCCAGAGCTTGTAAAATTTTAATCGCAGTTAAAGGACATGCTTTATTAATATTCTAATTTTTTAGATCACATTCATCCGAATCCATGTTTTCTAAGAGAAAATTAAAGGCAAGGTTTTCAATTAAATGCTTTTAAACGAAACAACAACAATAATTCTAAAGAATTATATATAATGAGAACAACCATTCTATAATGATAATATTGATAATGATGATAATATTAATACAGATGATAATGACAACAATGATGATAATATTGATATAATGTTGGTCATAACGATAATATTGATAATGATGATAATATTGATATAATGTTGGTCATAACGCTAATATTGATAATGATGATAATATTAATACAGATGATAATGACAATAATGATGATATTATTGATATAATGTTGGTCATAACGATAATATTGATAATGATGATAATATGAATAAGGATGATAATAACAATAATTATGATAATATTAATAATGATAATATTAATTATGATGATAGAATCAATGATAATAATAATAATGATGATAATATTGATAATAATGATAATATTGAAAATGATGATAATATTTAATTTTCTAAATTTTTACTTGCATAATGATTGTTAGCTTAAAAAGTGTACATTTTACATTGTAAACAGTCGATATAGTTTACAAAAATAGAAATATTATGTTATGAATGAAGAATAACAAAAATAAAGTAGAATAATAGAATAAAACTATTTCTAAGGACGCTTTTACAACTTCTTTAAAATCTTTAAAATCTTGAAAATTTTTAACCAAATCTAGAGGATAGTTTATATGTTAATCTGAAAATGTAATTTAATTAATGTAGTCGTAATTAGTAATAGTATTTATTTCAAACACAAAATACAATTTGGTAATGTATCAAAACCATAAAAAAATTATTTAATATGGAAAAAATAATTTTGATTAATTTTGTTTTGATCCGAAAATACATGTAAACGTATTCATTATTCTAGGACTGCTGGCTGTTATGGAAAATTCTAAAGGTAAGAAAGCAATTAAAACCCTGGGACCTGATAAACCATGAGAAGTCGTGAAACAACCACCTCCGGGTTAAATCCTGAATTACAGATTCAAAATTAAAGATTTATGAGGATATTGGTAATGCATTGGAGAGAGTGAATCTGTAATTTATGATTTGAACTGGCGCGCGTTGCACTGATTGCGAGCTTTAATTCTACAAATTTCCAATTGCCAGCCCTTTAATCCCACATGTTTCCAATAGCAAGCCATTTAATTCCGCCGGTTTCCATTTGCCTGCCCTTTATTTTTGCGGAATGCGAGCCCATAAAGTCTGCGGGTGTCCATTTGCCAGCCCTTTCATTCCGTGGGTTTTCAAATGCGATCCCCTTAATTACACATGTTTCCAATTGCAAGCCATTTAATTCCACGGGTTTCCAATTGCAAGCCTTTTAATTCAGCGAATTTCCAATTGCAAGCTCTTTAAATCCACATGTTTCCAATTGCGAGCCATTTTATTCCGCGGGTTTCCAATTGCTGGCACTTTAATTCCACATGTTTCCAATTGCGAGTCATTTTATTCCGCGGGTTTCCAATTGCCAGCCTTTTACTTCCACATGTTTCCAATTGCAAGCCATTTAATTCCACGGGTTTCGAATTGCCAGCCCTTTATTTTCGCGAAAATGCGAGCCCATAAAGTCTCCAGTAGGTATAAAAAGCCTTTTTTTTCAAAAAAAAGGTTAGGCCATTTTTTTTTCTTAAATGTTGCAAAAAAGCTCTGAAACCGAAAAGTGTTTTAAAATAGTTAAGCAAAAGAAATTGTTATTATTTAAATAAAATTTTTAACAAAGAAAAAAAGAGGTACACTGAATTTTTGAAAATTCAAAAGTTACTACCATTTTACATGGCAGTTGAGACCTATGCACGTAGTGCAAAAAAGAGTTTAAAATTCGTGGTACTATCTAAATTGTATCTTTGAAATCATAAAAAGTTACTACCGTTTTAACAAAGAAAAAAAAAAGTTACTCACAAATTTTTGGCAAAAAAAGGTCATTGAGATTCTATTTCTTATTGATTTTTTTAAAGTTTTCTTTTATAAAAAAATAAAATATGCACAAAACACACTGGATTTATTCGATTTACTACCGTTTTTACTAATTTTTAAAAGGTCTGAACCTTTTTTTGAAAAAAAAGGCTTTTTATACAAACACAGAGATGGTTGAGATGTGTTATAATAGATGCATCAAATATTTGTTCCTCGAACTATTGTAATACAAAAATATCAAATAAACCTCATATTTTTAATTTTTACAATAGGCCTGCAGTTTTAGATGACAGGTGAGGGTTGGGAGCGTAAAGGGATTTTTCATAATCTGATTTGACATTTAGTAAGACCATTCAGGAACTGTATTAATCGGTATACAAGTGACCATCAAAGATGACAATTCCCAATTTTCAAGGAAACCCTGAAAAAGCCTTGTCTCTTAAAGTATGAATTATATATCAATGAGAAACCTGATTATTTTCAATTATGGTTTCGTTTTAAAAGTGTCCTGAGCATTTATACGGCAGGAAAATATGAAAATTTATTATCTATTTATGTCATTGTAATGGATATTATTAAGTGCGAAAAAGTTTTTGCCAGGATTTTTATTTTTTCTAGTTTATTTTGATCGAAAACAAACTATAAAAATTTAAAATCATAGCAAAAACTTTTTCGCACGTGTGATACCCATTTCAATAACATAAATAAAATTTTATTCAGTTTTACTCAAATTATTTAAAAGCAGGTCGATAAAGTTACTTAATCACCCTTTTGTATGGGGATTAAGTAACTTTATCACCCTACAATGAGAAAAATTAGGTATGAAATTTGAAATTTTAATAGCAGGGTGAAAAAGTTACCTTTTCGCCCTGTTGCAGGGCGATAAAGTCACAACGGGAAAAATTATGTATGATAAATTCCATCAAAATTGAATATAGGAATTATTGCATGTAATTTAACACGTTAAAACTATAGAAAACGACAATATCCTCCAAATTATTAATCAGAAAAAGATTTTAAGAGTTAGTGAATTGAATCGGGCGTTGCAATTCTTAAATGGAGAATTACTTGAAATCAGGAGCGGATACAGAGAGGGGGCGGTAGGACCTTTGCACCCCCCTGACGAATTAAGGGGGGGAGGGCGTAAACCCTCCTGAGATTTCAGCTTAGCTTCTCAATAGCACTTAAGTGAAAAACAACCTAGTACAACAGAAAAAATAACAATCTTAAAAAAAATTTCGCATGTGTCGCGCGTTTGTTGGTTCCTAAATCTGAATTTTTGGGTTCCAAAATAAATCTGTAGCCCCCCCCCCCCACTTACTTAAATCCTGTATCCGCCCCTGTTTGAAATTGCGCGTACAGTCATAAATTATAAATATTGAAATAAATTGGATTTATTTTACTAATTGACACAAATTTGTGTAAATATATAAAAGCTGGTTATATTTTTCACATTTTTATGGAATTGTGGTAAGAGGCTTAAGATTGATAAATTCACTATATTTCAAAAAATAGTTATTTTGATTAATTTATGTTAATTTATGTCAAGTCGGAACCAGTCTCAACTTTGAATTTACGGAGAAGAAAGAAGAAAATCACAAAATCCAGGTGACAAAAACTTAACACTTACTACCATACCTTTGCGCTCGAAATCTGAACGAAAAATCGGCTTTTTCTCCGGCCACAGTTGTCTTTGAAAAGTAAGACTTATACCAATCAACAGCGAATAGGCTGATTAGTTTACTTTGAAATTACCCAAATAAGTGAACGGTCCCTTTAAGTTTACCGCCCTACTCTGCCAACCGCCATCTCTAATTTTCTTCAAAAAATTATTTATATCTAAACTCTATCCTGGCTGGGTTATTTTTGTCTAATAAATGCTTGGAGCGTTGTGTCCCCCCCCCCCGCACCTATGATTTTGCCCTTAGAGTTGAGATAGGGTCCAACTTTTAAGGCCTGAACATAAAAAAAATAAACATCTAACTTTATTGGTTAGGCTGCAAGGGAGGATTATAAAAGAAAGTATGTCGGAAAAATGTTCAGGAGAACCAGGAGAACCAGGACAACCAGGACAACCAGGAGAACCAGGACAACAAGGAGAACCAGGAGAACCAGGACAACCAGGACAACAAGGAGAACCAGGACAACAAGGAGAAACAGGACAACAAGGAGAACCAGGAGATGAAGGAGAACCAGGAGAACCAGAAGAACCATGAGAACCAGGAAAATATAAAAAATCCATCTCAAGACTCAAAGCTAAGGAATATAATGCCATTTAAATCTATAAATTCCATCTAATAGTTTCAAAAATCTGTTAATATGAAAAACATTTAAGGGACTGTTGACATATTTTCAAGTGTCTCCAGTTATTGAGTAAAATGTCCGATTTACAACGTTACCCCTGAAAGCTTTGTCTTCTCTTTGAAAGTTAAAAATTTTAAATTGTGATTTCTCGCAAAAGTGACTTGCACATTTAATTTTGCTTCGGGAACAATATGAAGGAAACATTTAAAATTAAATATTTTTCAAGCAAGAAAATCGACGATATCTTCTACATTATTGATCAAATAAAGGTTATCTTATGGGATATGCACCGAATCAAGCATACTTGGGGGGGGGGAAGGTTCTTAGTCTCAACAAATTATATAAGAAAAATCTTAAAATATTTAATTCATTGATAGATTTTTACATAAAAGTTGTTGATTCCTCAGTTATTTTCCACGTTTTTGGGGCTCACTGTATTTCCTTATAGAGTAGAGAATACATAAGGCCAGGGGAAAAATAAGAGTTTTCTTGTAATGAACATTTTCAGCGCATTTTTGCCTGAAAAGGAGTTTAAAGTGGAGTCAAGGTGCAGAGATAAATTGATTTAAAAGTAAAACTCATTTCAATGTAATTCTTTTTCTGAAAAGTATTTACCCCTGCGGTTTGACATTTTTACCTGAAAATGATAAATATAATGGTGTTGTTGACAGGCATATTCTGAAAAATAAAATAATGATGGGAATAGCCATAAGGTAACATCTCTATTATTGTTTTAAAATTAAACATATACCATTGCCGTGCATCAGATCATCTTCCCTAACGTGTTAAGACCATTTTTATCCATGGTGATGGTATGACACTATAGCCGAGGTTGGCTGATATATTTTGAAGAATAAAGACATTATAAATTATCTATATGTGAAATGATTATAAATTGTTTAAACATTTTTAAACAATAACCACAAAATTCTCCCAATCCTGGCATTTCCAAAAAGTGGTCTGCCTTTTTTCGTGCTGTCAATATTACCAGAGCTTTTAAGCATTTCTTTCAGATTTCAGTTTATGAAAAAAACCAAAATTGTCGAAATCTGATCGAAATCCTTCATATCTCCGGTAATATTAAAACCATAAGAAAGCAGACCACATTTTGGAAATGCCAAAGCAACTATTGCAAAGATCAAAGACGACTTTCAATTCGTCTTGCTACTGTCATGTTTTGTGGGACACTCTGAACTCTTTATAACTATAAAAGTACAAATATTTTGCTCCTTATCGAACACCCACACACATGACGTTTCTTTCCCCTGGTTAAATACGAGTCACTAGAAATTACGTGTATTGTCCATTTAACAACAATAAAAATATTTTTTAGAGGAATCCAGTTTGAAGCTGAACTACGGGATGAAGGAGAAACAAGTCTTGTGAATTTTGATAAAAAAGAGAGACGAAAACTTATTGAAGTACACTTTGACCCCTAGAAGTATGAGTTCGCGGACTGTACAATTCTTGGTGATTTTGCGTACATAAGCTATCTATGTTTATTTATTTATTTATCTATAATTTAAACCTTTGTCAAGGCTATCTGAAAATTGTATATCTAATTGCGGGTTTCCAGCTGGCTCATTGGTAACCCTATAAAGGAATAAATGGTACCAATGTGAATCGAACAAGTACTGCTTTTGTAAATTAAAGATCACTGGAAATTACGTGGACTTCTTTATATATTTTAATCTGAGAACTTTCTTTCTAAAAACTAAACAATGAATATTTGTTTTATAATTCTCAGTAATGAAATCCAATTTCAAAATATTTTAATCAAATTTTTTTTTCAGAAACCCGAGAAAGAAATTGGTGAAAATCTAAGGAAAGATCATTTCAAACCTTTTAAAAAAACTTTAAATATAAAAAAGTAGGGGTTTAGAGCCATAATTAATTGATTGAAATATTTGAAAGGATAATACAATATTTTTTACTCAATCTCCCTTCAAGTCAAAACCTATCATTTTACAGTTGCTGCATATAGGTTATGAGTAGAAATTATCAATTTTTACAGGAAAAAGCTTTCAGCTGGGCATAAACAACTAGGTAGGTGAATTAAAAATAGATAAAAAGTGATTGTATTTATATTGTTATTTTTAAGTTCACTCTGCAAGTTTTTTCCTGACAAAAACAGAAAATACAGATGGGAAACCACACTCATCAATGAAAAACATAAAGGTAAGATTAAAAGGAAGATTTAATAATTTAAGAATTTTGAAATTTTAGTAGAAAAAGGAATTGCATAATGAGGTTTCCGATAGCATGAGGCCAGGAGGGTCTTCGATAGAACACACAGGGTCTGTAGCAAATATCGTAGCAATCACTATATTTGTTAAAGTTGTACATTTTCTTTAAATCTAAATGTGCTTATCATTAAATATGCAAAACTTGTAATGTGATTAACCAAGCCTAACTACGTCTGTAAATACGTCAAAATATGTATTGTGATTAGCTTAACTATGTGTAAATATGTATATTAAACTTAATCTGTAACATAGATATATAAATACACATTAGTTGGAATAACACTTCGTTTTGATTACGGTGTAAGAAGTAATATATCCTCGTGTAGAGAACGAGACTAAATTGAGTTGTATCTTGTAAAAAGATACAATAGAATACAGAGAGCTAGTAGTATCTGAGGGATACATACTAAAGAATACAACAGCTTCTTATCTGGATTGATAGAGATTGAGTATTGTAGCGATCTAGTATTATCTGAGTACTAAAGAATACAGATAGAGTCATATACGGATTGATATAGTGTATTATTGCAGAACCTGGAGTTAAAGAAGAGTAATTTGTTTCCTTGGTTGAATTCAAGATTGAGTTGTATCTTTAAAAACAGATACCTTAGAAAATGGAAGGTTATACCTGGATTGATACGGGTCTGAGAAACTTTTATAGAGTAGGGTATTTACTACAAAAGTGGTGGCAGCAGTGGGATTAGGAAACCCTAGTTAAATGCCACAGACTCCAAGGAAGAAAAGTACAGTGATTACCTGGTTTAACTGATAATAAGAGAAACTGTGTCAGAAGAAGAAACAGTAACAGTGCAGCAACAAGATTGCTACCACAATGTATAGAGTACCATGATATACGGAGTACCAGAATGAACAATATACAAGAGTATAACAGTTGACAATTTTAAATTGTACCCTAGAGTACCTAGTGAAGATTCGGATACCAGAGTATCAGAATGAACCGAATACCAGATATGGAGGAGATGAAGCTGCGACGGGAAATATTTAAAAAGGAGATACAAAAACTGAAAAATTGTAACCGTGAGATTACAAACACAGAGTATCAAATATTAATGCAGAAGATAGAGCAATGGAAGCTAGATATGCAAACAGTGGAAAAGATTGAAAGAGTGAAGGCAATGTTGGAGCAGACTAAGAAGATAGCCAGGGAACAAAAATACATGGAGAATTTAAGGGAATATATCCCTAATAAGAGAATACAGTGTTTCATAGAGAATACTTCAAAATATAGTGGAAACCCGGAGAAAGTGTTAAGTTAGAATGGTGCAAGAATTTGGAAAATCATTTGTTTAACTATAAATGTATATTATCCCAAGGAAAAGGTATTCCTATATATGATACAGGATTCTGATGAAGATATTGGAGAATATTATCCCAAGGAAAAGGTATTCCTATATACGATACAGGACTCTGATGAAGATATTGAAGAATATTATAATGTCATGCTGAGTCAATGGATGCAAGCAAACACTACAGATAAGAGGAACCTGGTAGAATTCAAAAATGGTTTGCTCGAGGGACTGTATGATCAAGAGTTGATGGAACAATGCCTGGTTTTCATGCCTAAGATGCCCCAGCATGAAAGCAATCCTAGTACTACTGGAGCGTCAGCAATCCCAGGATAGAAAGAAGTTAAAAACTACATGTACACTGTACAGGTACACTATAGTTTTGAGACAGTGGAAAACAGCAAGAGAGCTGATAAGATGTGGGAAACAGGAAATATTAGCAAAGAACCAGTTTCTTACTATCGCAAAACTTGTAATACGAATAACCTACCCTAACTTCGTCTGTAAATACGTCAAAACATGTATTGTGATTAGCTGAAATACATCTATATATCCTCGCAAATCTTGTAAATATGTATATTAAACTTAATCTGTAACATAGATATCTAAATATACACATTAGTTGGAATAGGCTGCCCTTTGATTACGGTGTGAGAGTAATTACTTCTTGGTTAGGGAATGAGAACCATCCTCAATCACTCTCTATTGAAAGATAGAACTTGATTGGGAATTGATAGTTTACTTGCTTGTGTCTGTGTTGACATTGATAATTTTAGAGATTGTGCCCATTTTTGGCATTGCTAGTTTACTTACTTGTGTTTGTGTTGACATTGAAAACTGAAGAGATCATGCCTGTGTTTGCAATTGATTGCGTTCAGTTGCTTATCACCCTCAGAAGAGAATGGACCTCTCTCGCAGTGGTCCCAGCTTTACAGTTTTGAGGAGCACTGCATTTAGTTGCACACATGTCTTATCCTAAAGGGGAGTAGCCTGTCTAACATAATATAGAATAAACAAGACTCCATCTTCAGCTTGGTGCAGCTGAAAGAAGGAGTTTAACCCCTGATGGGTATAAAAGCCATGCACAACGATACTGATTTTTTGCTCTACCAACTGTGAGGACTGCAGACTGCTGTGGAAGATTCCTCTCAATGGGACTTTAAGACTTGCAACCCCCCATTTTGCGTATAGTCTCCTAAATAATTATGATAGTCTACTACATAATTAGGAGAGTCTCCTATGCGGTAAGCAGAGTCTGCAATAAAATAAGCAGAGTCTCCTAAATAATAAGAAGAGTCTCCTAAGTAACTATAGGAGAGTCTACTACATAATTAAGAGAGTCTACTACATAATTAAGAGAGTCTACTACATAATTAAGAGAGTCTACTACATAATTAAGAGAGTCTCTTATTTCATAAGAAGAGTCTCTGCGATAAAATAAGGAGATTTTCCGAAAACATAATTAAGGTCCTGATAGAATAATTAAGGAGGGTCTATGTTAAGATAAAGATGGTCTCCAATGGAATAAGGAGGGTACAAGATAATAGCGTCTCTCAAGTGAAACAAGGGGGAGGGGGAGATTTAATATTTTTCAAATGTATTTCTGTATCAAATAATTATTATTGTTCCAGGAAAATAGCTCTGATAGCGACCCTGAGATTACAAAAGAAATCGTGAATATTAGTTACAGGTACTAAAACATTCAAGGACTATAATGCACTTCTGGAATATGGTTCAAGCGCTGGAATAAAGTTCACTTCCTGAATATAGTGCAATTCCTGGAATAAAGTGGAATTCCTGAAATATAGTGCAATACCTGGTATATAGTGCATTTCCTGGAATATAGTGCACTTCCTGGAATAAAGTGCATATCCTGGAGTAAAGCGAGATTCATGGAATATAGTGTACTCTTGGAAAATATAATGCAGTTCCTGTAATATAGTGCACTTCCTGGCATTTATTGCAATTTCTGTAATATCGTACAATTCCTGTAATATAGTGCAATTCCTGAAATTTAGTGCCATATAGTGCAATTCCTGGAATATGGTGCAATTCCTGTAATATAGTGCAATTCCTGATATATATTACTATTCCTGTAACATAAATATGAATTTTCTTGTAATATATGTATCCAATTTCCTGTATTTTTGTATTTTGAATGTTGTATATTGCTTGTGTCCTGTCACCAATGAGAGTTTGTTTCACGAAAAATATTTTTTATAGATATGGAAAACTGAAAGAAAGCACGGAATCAAATGTTCATAAATCTTTTCTGGAAAACAAACTGGAAAACGACTTTGAGGAAGCCCTTCAGGATATAGATAGAATGGAACAGGTGCTAAAATAAATCTTATCATGAGAGGAGGGGTGGGGGTGCTTTTATTTTTTGTATACAGGTTTACCCACAAAGGATGAAACTTCAGAGATGACTGTAGGGAAAACATTCTGTTTATTTATGATTCCATACAACTAAATATGAACGTCTTTTATTCTTTGCCAGACTGAGACCGTTTAAGGCAGAAAAGTTACAAGTCGTCTTTACGATTACATCCTTTGTGGATAATCCTTTTTAAGGAGGGAGATTGTGGTTTAGAAGGAATATAAATACAGTCATAACCAGAAAACTGTGGAATATGAAGACGACATTATAGCATTTGATGTTGTTTAAACCAAATAGCTTTACTTGAAAGTTATTTAATTACTTATTAAGTAAAATGGGTCTGTTTACATTGCACAATTGCTGTGCCTCATGTTCAATACGCTATTAAAAGTCATAAATTGAGTTTAAAAGTCGACCTCCTATTCCAGACTTTTCTGGTTATCACAGTACCAAGAATACCCTTCCTTCTAAGTCCAATCATAACCAATATAAAGAGGAAAATTAGTCGTCTTCGCTGTTTATTTCAATTACAAATGCCGATTCGAATTTTGTATTTGTGAATGTTATAATAACTCTACAAATATGTTCAGATGTCTACACGTTTATACCTGTTAAACTCTGCTACCGGATCATATTTCGACTATGCCGTAGTTGGATACTCTAATTCAAAAGTTGCCAAATCGCACACAAAAGTTTCGACATTAGGGCATTTTAGTAAATAAAACAAACCCAAATAAATTTTAAAAGAAAGTCGTTCTAAAAATTGTTCCGCTGTTTTGGTTATTTCTGTATATAAAATTTCAGAATGAGAATATGCAAAAGGGATCTGAAATTATTCTGGTAAGATAGCATGGACTTTAATACAGTGTGTCGCCTAAATATGATAATTTTATGACAAGCCATGAGTAAAAAATCGTCCTCTAACGATTTAATAAGTTGCATGGTATTTAATATAAATTAACATGTACGCACAATATAAAAGTAGGTTTGACTAAAAAAAAGAAAATTTTTAAAAAATACGTTGGGTTTCAACTATGGATGGATTGTTTCCACTTATTTGAAAAAAAATCGTTTCGTTTGGAAAACGACGAAGAAAAAACGAAAAACAAAACGATCGGTTTTTAACACGATCTTTTAAAAAAAAATATGGTTTTTAAAACATATAGTTTTTCGTTTTTAAAAACGATCGTTTTTTGTTTTTTAAAAACGGTCGTTTTTAAAAAAGGGCCCTTCGTTAACGACCGTTACCAACGACCCTTCCTTCATGATCGTCAACGACCTTTTATGGAAAAAAATACATTTCTGAGTCGGAAAATCCGAGGCTAGAAACCATTCTTAATCAAGTTTCAATTTGAATTCAATATTTCGAATTTTAAATTTTAAATTATGCATGAAGTGGTCCCCATAAAACTATGGAATAGAAAGATGACGGCAAATAGTTAAACCTGTAAAATGGAAGATGTACCGCAAATTGCAATGTTTCGTGTGTTTATTGGACTATTGAAAATCAAAACCTGAATAAGTCTAAAAGTCTAAAAGTCCTTTTAATGGTTCTATGTGTAGACCTATCTTTTGGCTAAAAAGTTTAAAGAATATGTCTCGACTGCCCTGAATCTCTCAACATTTAATAAAAATTGAATTAACAATAATAAAATTGAATTGATAAATTCGAAAATCAAAGGCCTTTCACAAGTCTCAATCGGAAATCTCATTTATAGAATAGATTTAGCAGGAAAAACAAAACACTTTGACCAAAAAGCAGGAACAAAAGTAATAAATCAACTATCGACGTTTAATTTATAACTTATCTTTTGCATAACCAATTTTTTTATTATAAAGGGATAGACAATTTTTTTTTTGTAGTTAATGTATGCATTATACATATATGAATACTTTAAAAAACTGACTAAAATTTATTTTTATCTATGGTATGGTATCTGACAAACTAGGCGAAGTTACAAGGTCTCAGAACGTGTAATTCATTTAATTAACCGTTAACTCAAAGAGTTTTATTTCTATCCGAAAAAGTCATTTCTATGAGTGAAAACGCAATTGATAATTTTTTTATTTTAAGTGAGGAAAACACGCATTTTTCCGTCATTTATCTCTGAAATCTTGTTTAAAAGGTATCGATGAAAATCGAACATGCCCTATTTTAAAAGTGAGTCACTTGAAATTTTAATTTTAAAAATCTGTTTTTTAGGAAAGAAATGCAGGTTTTGGTTTACCAGAAAACCTTCAGCTTTCTAGTCTAGAGAAGAGAATATACGCAAGGTGAGTTTATTTTAAGTTTTCTAACCTTGTCTTGGCAGAACAGGAGGGAGCAAGGAAATATATACAGGACCGCCCAACTCAGATATACGCATATTATGTACTGTACACTGTGGGAGGAATGTAAAGAAACCCAGTGCCCCCACAGAAGGACTACAGCTCTGTTGTGATATTACCTCGTGGAACCTGATAAAAGTAAACTTATTGAGCATATAATTTTATATAATGGGATAATTTAACATCTCAGAATCTCGTGGAACCTGATAAAAGCAGACTTATTGAGCATATAATTTTATAATGAGATAATTAAACATCTCAGAATCTCGTGGAACCTGATAAAAGTAGACTTATCGAGCATATCATTTTATAATGGGATAATTAAACATCTCAGAATCTCGTGGAACCTGATAAAAGTAAACATATATCGAGCATATAATGTTATAATGGGATAATTAAACATCTCAGAATCTCGTGAAACCTGATAAAAGTAGATATATCGAGCATATAATTTTATAATGGGATAATTAAACATCTCAGAATCTCGTTAAACCTTANCCAGACCCTAGATGTATTTACCATACTGTAGGTATACACAGACCAGACCCTATGTATTAACTAGACTGTAGGTATACACAATGCACATGCCCTGGATCCTTGATGTATTTACCAGACTATAGGTATACATATACCAGACCCTAGATTTACTTGCCAGACTATAGGTATACATAAACCAAACTATAACTATACACAACCCAGACCCTAGATTTACTTACAAAACTATAGGTATACATATACCAAACCTAATTTTATTTACCAGACTATAGGTATACACATACCAGACCCTAGATGTATTTACCATACTGTAGGTATACATATACCAAACCCTAGATTTATTTACCAGACTATAGGTATACACATACCAGACCCTAGATGTATTTACCATACTGTTGGTATACATATACCAGACCCTAGATGTATTTACCAGACTATAGGTATATAAATATACCAGACTAGGATTTTCAGCGAGATTTCGCTTTATTTGTTTCACGAAAGTTTTGCATTTTCTCGCTGAACATCTTAATGTGAAATTTTTGTAATTTTTCGCAAAATGGTCGTTTATTTTTTTCCTTTTTCACAAAATTCCATATGGTTTTCACTTTCTTTCAAGAAATTTTTCTTTCGCTGGAAACCAGACTGTAGGTGTATCAGATAGCTTTATATGATTGTTTATACACCAGACTATAGGTGTAGATTTACATACCAGTTTGTAGATTTCTATAAATACGTACCAGACTGATAGTCTAATATACATATACGACTGATATTTGTGTTTTCGGTATCAATACAAAAAATTAAATAGATTCTTGTACAATATATGGCAACGTAGAATTTGTACACTCTCAGTACAGTTGTATTCTGTCGTCACAAGTGTCAATTCAGTTTTTGTGTCCGACAAAATCATCAATAATAGTGATAATTTTAGAATAAAGTGCTTTTCTAACAGTAAAATAAGTGCAATTTTATGTGTTCTTTAGTTTTTGTTTTTACACTTTTTTATTTAATCTTGGAAAACATGGCAACTAATTTGAGAAAATTTCATTGTCCTTGTTATATTTGACACTTGTGACGTTGTGTATAATTGGTTGATTTCTCTGTTGCCACCTATTGTACTTGATAATCTATCTGCAAAAAATCATACATTTTACAAAATTAAATCGATTCCCTGTTCAGGTATACGCCGGGAAACTCTAAAAGAAGGTAAACTATTGATTGATTTATCGCAATTAATGTTGGACTAAATATATTTCTGTGAACTTGATGTTGTTATAAATCAAATACATAGTTTAACACGTAACTTAAGATACAACTTATTAAAGGGAGAGACCGGCGGCTAGACATGTGTTGAGTTGAGAGTGCTGTATTGTAGAGAACTTTTTTGGGATTCATATGAGACCTAGTTGTGACTTGTGAGACGTTTTTACGGTTTATAATTGTTTAGCTAGAGCTAAAATTGTATCTTTAAAATCCTCCTGGCGCCTGCCCCCTGGTGGATTATGTTGCGGCACTAGTGCTGGTCGTCGTTCCTTTCTATAACGATTACTCTTACGCAAGAATAAACGGAATTATCAAGAACGATCCAATTGGTCCAAAAAAAAGAACGAATATAGAAGAACATAGAAGGCATTTTTAAAAACAGTGAAACAATTATTAAAAAGAACAAATGAGGAATGAACGAAAACTCTTTGAAATAACGTTAAAATCAGGAACGCATTCAAAGTAGCATTTTAAATCAGGAACGTTCAGAACTTCAGGGGCGTACAATGGAGAGGGGGGGGGGCGTGAAAGGACGTCCCTCCTACGCTTTCCCCCCCCCTGGGAGGGACGCAGGGGGGACTTATTTAATATTCGTCCGAAGATTTGTTGGAAAAACTCGGATTCTTGATTTTTGAGGCATAACTTTTAAAGCTGAACAATAACATACCGTAAAAACGTCTCATAGGTCTCAAATGAATCCTATCCTGACAAATTTCTCTTTAATACTGCAATATCAGCTCAACCACTTTGACTAGCCAAAATATAGGTCTGTATATATAGCTGCACTATTGATGTGTTCAATTTCCATTAGACCAGGTTTAACACCATGACTTGAGTCTTATGGTCTTCTTCCTTTTTACAAGGTTTATGAGTCTCACTGCATGCAATACTCTATATGACTGATATACTTTTCTAAGACTTAAACTACGCTGCTTTAAGAATGCTCAGTAAACTTATGAAATTTTGCAACAACCATGACTGGGCTGATAATGAAATGTCGCCAGGCCTTTGATTTTCTTTGCCAACCCTTGATGCCACTTGTTTTAACTTCGGATATGTAAATTTAAAATCTGCAATTTGCCTGTTTTGGAAAAGAGTTTTTGGACAACATTCTTTTTTTTAGTTTACCGTTAATATTTCTAGTTCTCCGGGGGGAAACTTCATCAGATCCCCACAGTCTTCGGAGGATGAGGGGGAGGAGGGGGTGGAGGAGGAGAAGAAGGATAAGGACACATTTATTGATCAGAAAACGGATAGAGATCCCTTCAAGGATGAGGAGGTTGGAACTCCTGTTTATAACAGGTTTATTAAACAAATAAAAGATCTGTAATAGAGTAACTTGTTCATTTTGAACTCCTATTTACTGTTTAACTCAGAACATTGGAGATATCAAACTAAATTTGGAAATGTCGTCTTGTCAGTTTTTCAATGGGTTTTATATACAATTACACCAAAATCTCAGTATTTGTAAAAATGAATGAGTAGCCATGCCATAACGGGACCTGTTTTAAATTGGTCTGTAAATATTCAATTAAAAGCCTAAATATCTGCAGCATTCCGTCATCTGTAGGTTTAGAAGACGACATATTATAAATTCTTTCGGTTACTCCGAAGCTCTGAGTTAAACTCTGTTAGTTCATAAGATTTTTATTATACAAGAGACTTTTAACAGTTGGCCATGCTAGATAATTTTCACAAATGCTTATATTTCAAGGTTTAAAATGATGAGAATAAACTCAATTGCTTGTATTTCTAGGATTAAAATTAAGAGAATGCATACAATTACAACTATTTCTAGGTTTAAAATGAGAAGAATAAATACAATTTCATTTATTTCTAGATTTAAAATAAGGATAATGAATATAATTTCATGTATGTCTAGGATTAAAATAAAGAGAATAAATGCAATTACAAGTATTTCGAGGTTTAAAATGAGAAGAATAAATACAATTTCATGTATTTCTAGGTTTATAATGAGAAGAAAAAATACAATTTCATGTATATCTAGGTTTAAAATGAGAAGAATAAATACAATTTCATGTATTTCTAGGTTTAAAATGAGAAGAATAAATACAATTTCATGTATTTCTAGGTTTAAAATGATGAAAAAATACAAATAATTTTATTTCTAGGTTTAAAATGATGAGAATAAATACAAATGCTTGTATTCTCGCTCCCCCTGAATATAAGATAAGTGAAACATCAAATGATGAAGATAAAATGAAGACAATACAGCATACTGGATATGAAACAGAAGTAATTGATGGAAGAAGATCACAAGAGAAAGAAGAAAGAGTGAAAGGTGAAGAAGAAGAGAAGAAGAAGAAGAAAGATAAGATTCAAGCAAAGCCGGAAAAAGTTAAAACAACAGTAAACGAATTGAAAACTTTATTTTTCCCAATGAGAAGACTCCGTGAAGTTCTTCATCTATAGAAAATTGACTAAAGATTTAATATGATTTATAAAACAAAGTATCTCGGAATTACAACCATATAATTAAAGTGAAAATAATCCCAAACATTCTGCTTAAAGTTTCTAAAAAGTTTTTTGTAATTTTTAATGCTTAAGATAATTAGATGTCATGAACAAAATTTTTGATATTAAACGATTATCAGTTTTTATGATTTACTATATATATAGAAAAGGCATCATCAATATTGGAACTAAGCCAACCGCCCACTGGGGGTTTGTGCATTTAGACCTAAAAAAAATGTCGTAGAATCCCCCGGTGCACGGGGGTTGGCTGATTTCTGAAAAAAGATTTAGATCATCCCTACTATATAGTTTTACATACAGGGTGTCCCATGACAGTAGCAAGATTAATTGAAGGTCGCCTTTTGTCTTTAAAATAATTTGCATCATTAAGTGGTAAACTAGTTTTAGAAGTAAAATTCTAAAGTTTATTACTTCTAGTCTTGGCATTTCTAAAAAGTGGTCTGCCTTTTTTTTTAGTTTTTATGATATCTCCGGTAAAATTTACGGCTCAAAAAAGGCAGACCACGTTTTGCAAATACCAAGACTAGGAGATTATTGTGGTTTTCTCTTTAAGAATCATACATGTTAAAGTAGGTTGACGACCAAAGATGAGAAATAGATTTAAAGATCTAAGACGACTTTTGAGGCGTCTTGTTACTGTCATTTTTCCGGGACACCCTGTATATTAAATCTAAGAATTTTTATCTAAGTAATTGAAAATTGTCTTTAAATATTACAAATGCTATGTCGTCAAATTTAAAGGGAGAGACCTGCAACATATTTAAACTGAGAATGCAGTATTTTAGTGAAAAACAATGGGATTTATTTGACACCAATAAGACATTTTTACGGTGTACTATTCTTAACCTTATTCCCGCTGGGGGGGGGGGTCAATTTCCCCCCCCCCTGTAGTTTTTTTTACATAACTCAAAAAGTATTGGTCTGAGGCTGTTGAAATTTTCTGACTTTTCTTACACACCCAAAGCCCTCCCTTTAGGCCTAAAACCGGGCTTTAATACTAACTGCCTGAGTCCTCAGGCACACTGCCTGAATGACTGCTTTTGCCTGTAGCAAACTAAATCTTTGTTTTGACCCACTTTCACTTGTCAGATTTTGATAAAATTTAGCTTTTTGGAAAGCCTATGACATAAGGAAACGGATTGCACAAGTTTTGCGAAAAAAAAATTGCAAATTTTTTGCAGAAAACCTGTCAAAGGAAATTTGCACATTTTTAGTTTTTCTTGATTAAAAATCAGGTTATTTAAAATTTTGCAAAAATTTTTGCATATTTGAAATGGCATGGTCAAGGGCTTTTCAAAAATGTATAATTTGTCATTTTTTGGACAAATTTTTTTTTGCAAACATTTTTACTATAAAACTGGATTTTGCGATAAAAAATTCAATTTTCGCAAATTTGCAAATTTTTTTGCAGATTCTGAAAGTAGAGCACAAGAGCTTTCTAATGATGTATCATTTGTCATATTTAGACATAAAACATGGGATTTAGAGGGGGGTCAAATTGACCCCCCCCCCAGCGTATCCTGGTTTTCAAGTACCCCAGCGGGGATAGGGTTAAATAAGAACGTAAAGACGTTTGAAACAAACTAGGTTAATTCATACAGGTGGAGAAAAATAATAAGCTACTATCATTGAAATAAGCTATTAAAAATTCATTTTAAAATCACGCAGGTTTATGCAAACTATTTCATCTAGGGTCGCTTGTTGGAGGTTTTCTTTAATTTTATTGTGAATCGAAATATTTAATAAATCTGCGAAAAAAAATTCAAAAACAGCGAAGGTAAGAGTGATAATGAAATTATCGATTCACCGCGTACTATGGCTTTCATCGCTAATTTCTTTAAAAATATATTCTGAAACAGCAAATTAGTTTATAAATAAATTTGTTATACATTTTATATGTGGAACCAATCATATTTGAGCCGTGTCTCAAATTTAAGCTGCGACTCAAATTCTTCAAATTCGGCCTCAGGTCTATTTTCCTTACTGAGGACTTACTTGTTAGTGAAATTGACCTCTTACTCTATAGAATACGCTGGTAGGCGATTATATCAATATAATGAAGATGGCTTTATTATTTCAGTTTTAATTGTTAACAAGATTTTTTGAATCAGAATTTTACATGTAATGAAAGAGAACCTCTTTTTACTTGACGTTTTCTCTATGCTTCCATCTTTTTTTGTCAATACATTCTGTTTAAAAGCTTGATATTAATCGAAATTAAAATTGATAATTGTCTTCATTTTATTGATATAATCACCTACCAACGTATAAATAAATGCTGTACGATTGCTTTTATTATACCCTAAATTTTTACAAGCCCCGTACCTCATTATTTGTTTAAAGGTCATGATCGACAAAACTTGATATTTTACAATTTACTAATTAATTAAAAATAAATTATTTATTAGTTTTTAACATAACTCTAAAATTGTATTAGATCGATTCAAACAATTTAAAAACCAACTGAAGATAGTTGTGCACAACTTGAATTGAGAATTTTTGTTATTTAGTTACTATTAACTATTCATTATTCACTATTCACTATTCACTATTCACTATTCAGATCTGAGAGTAATCTTAAATCTTGTATCTTGCATACCCTTATAACAATCTACCATATTTTATTCATATGAATTTTTTTGTAAAATGAAATACATAAAACATCACAAAACTGTATGCACCAAATGATTGTATTCTGTAAATAAATATTTCTATTCAATAATTGTTTTTCCATTATACCAATTCAACACCACGTGGGTTTAACGGTTCTGTCAATATTTCAGAAAGCTGCGACTATTTAACCCCTTCTACATAATTGTTTAACCTTTTTTCCTATATACTTTTTGTCGGCATATACATTTTGAATGAAAAAGTATAAAATAAACAAATCCGTAAGTTTAAAGATTGTTGAATTATTGACCAAAACACGTTTTATTTCAAATAAACGAAACCAAATGCTTCTCACTCTGGTTAGTCCGGGGTGACACTGAACCCACTGGACAAACATCGTTTTTTATCGTGAGAACTCGAAAAGTGTCTGTCGAGCTAAGAAACTCAAACTTGCCGGCTTTTCTAACTAGCACATGACCCGTATGTAAGGCTAAAGTTGAGCCATCAGGCATACTGCCTACATGCATTTTTTTTTACTTTTAACAGACTAAATCTATATTTGGACCTTTTTCCAGTCATTGGATTTAAACAACTTAAAGCTCTTTGGAAATTCTATTATAAAATTTAATCTATACATTACGAAAAATGTACAGTCGGAGAATTTCTTCTGGAATTTTAGGACTTAGGCCTATCAACCCTGGTGCATCTAGAAAACTTCGTCCAGGATTTTTCTTTAGATCTGTGAGATGGGTTCATTCAACGTTTTTTTCTCATGTCGTTCTTTCATCATTGGTGTATAATCCATTTCGTTGTTTTTCAATCGTTCAAAAAAAATATATCGTTTGTTCTCAACATTATCGTTCTATTTCCATCTAATTCGTTCGTTTTTCTCACTAAATAAAAAACGATTGTGATTTTTAAAACTTGTTCGAAAAAATCGTTCGTTCAGTAAATAATAATTGTTTTTAATCGTTTTGTAAAAAATTGTAGGTTCAGTAAAACATCGATTGTTTTTTCAAGTTTGTATGAACGATTTTAAATCGATTGTTTTAGTTTTTTAGTTTATTTTTTAAATAACGAAAATTTTTTCATATCCCTGAAAGATTTTGTTCATCCATCGTTCGTTTCTTCACGAATAATTTCGTTCTTTCTCCAAAATTTCGTTCATTTAAAAAACTATGTATCTAGCATGATGTATTGAAGAACATAACTGTAACCTTTCCTAACAATCCATAAACAAAATACTCAAAATCTTATTGTACTAAAATCAGTTAAAACTAAAACACTCCTTTTTCCTAATTTTTAAAAAATGTCTTTAGTAGTATTACTAATATGATCTAAAGGAATTGACTCTTTGTCACAAACTCTTCTTTTCTTATCCCTATAACTTTGCAGCCCAATGTCGTAGACGTTAGATATTTCAAACTATGAATTATGTTAGCTAAACTGATCAAAGATTGAAATGTCAAAGGTCTACACCATGATGTTGCAAAGATAAAAGGATTAGAAAATTTTAGTTTGTGGCAAAGATGCAATTTCCTTGAATTTGTCTAAATCAACAAAATAGTGAAACTTTCTCTATTTTTTGTCTAACAATTAACTTATTCAAAATGAATCTTGTGCCAAAGTTTAAATTTGGTTCAAAACTATGAAATCAGCTATTATCATAAATTTAAACTTAAATTTTGGGTATACAATTGTTTACAATTGTAGTCTTGAATATATCATATTGCACGGATATGTTATACAGTTTTCAGTTTAAGGATATACATACTTAGAATTACAAAAATTGTCTGAATTATACTTGATGTTCATGATAATGTTTCTCAAAAACATTTTTGGAATTCCGTTGGTTTCTCCAAAATTTCCGGGAAGCGTCTCAAAAACTTTTTTGCGATGACTTACGCTCGGGAGTTTCTTAGAAATTTCATAGGAGAAATTCTGCAAAAATTTGAGAATTTCCCCAGTTTTGTTTCCTGAGCCTGTGCAAGCTTGCATTAATAATATTAGTTTTAATATTTAATTTACGTAAAAATCACGTAACAGTTATAAACTTGGTCAGTCAACCCTAGCTCTACCATGCATATTGTTGTTGGATTAATCCTTTACACAGGTTTAATTGTACAGGTTAATGGAATGATTAGCAGGATGTACATAAAGACTGATAATATATCAAAAATTACTTGGAAGGAATCCATGGTTCTTCAACAACAAACTCCATCATATATGACATGTTCTATGTTATGCAATCAAGCTGGAGATTCCTGTAACTCTGCTGTATTTGATGCTGATACTAAGATGTGTACACATGGTAAGGTTGAGTACTTGGAAGATGCTACTGATGATGATTCTGTTTCAATATTTCTAGATAAGGAGGCAGCAAACAGTATAGATCAGCATTGTAAAGGAGGATACAGCTGCTGTAGTAAGGTACAGCGCGGTTTACCATGTCAGCTGGGGGAAGGAGATTGTAGAATAGATTCTGATTGTAAACCAGGATTAATCTGTACTCTAGGTTCATGTTCTGACAAGTTTGGATATTCAGATGGATTATGGGATCTAGAAGACTCCTGTTGTGAAATCAAATGCTCTCCTGAAAGGATGTGCACTAGTGGAGAAGGGTTGTGTGACTCTGCTGCTGATTGTTTAACAGCCCCTGGAGATGTAGATTCTGTATGTGTACAGTGTACAGATGCATCAATGTTTCCACCAACTCAGTATTCACAGATGTTATCATACAACTATTCAGTTGAAGACAAGTGTTGTTTATCTAGAGGGATTCAACATATTAAAATATTTGATTGTGGAGTAGAATGGCTTGATGAGACTTATGGATTTAGAGGAAATCTGTTTTGGAAGATTACTGAAGATAATGGCTTTACACCTCAATATCCTAAACTAATTTCTACTACATGGATTGGTCTACCTTCTTCTGGGATAGATGCATCATATACCAAGAATGGTGTAACCTACTTCTTCAAGGGTTCCCATCTGTTTGCTTATTCACAGACTTATACAATGATGGCTGGATACCCTATAAACATTTCGGACAGATTCTATGGACTTGTTGACAAGATAGATGCTGTGGCATATTATTATAACGATGTACTTTATATATTTCAAGGGAATACATACTGGAGGTATGACAATGAGAACAAAAACCCTTATTTCAGTTATTCCAAGGATGTGTCTGCAAATTGGTTTGGTTTACCCTATGTAGATGCTGTGATCCGGGTGGGAAAATTCCTTTATCTTTTTGTTGAT